CGCAGGACCGGGCAGTGTTTCGTTCTGTTGTACAGAGGGTCGCTATGTGTAGGAACCAACTCAAGGGCACCTAACAACAACAAATATGAGGAACATTCTATCAACTGTGCAGTCCCATCGGTATTTTGGGCATCTCACGGAATGAACCAAAGTATTGATTACACATAATGTTTGGTTTCTCTAAGTTTGGTAAAATGAGAAAAGTACAGGCCTCAGCATAAGGAGGAAATGGATTTTTGAGTCTTGGATCCAGAAAGTACTGACTTCAGGAGTGCTGAGAGAGTTAAGACACCGTGAAGACGAGGGGGACCAGCCTGACACACAGTACATACTCATTACAGTCTCAGGAGAATTTAGTGCCCAAGGGTTTCCACAGAGCACATGGCAACCAACATAACACCAAAACATCCCGTTTCCTTATTTTTTGACCACTCACTCTGAGTCATAATTATAAGAAGCGATGACCAGTCATCATTCTCTGGGTTCATTTCTGGCGCAGTAGCTTTTAAAGAACATAAACACGAATGTTTTCCAGGAACTTCATTTAAAAACAGTTGCATGTGAATCATTCAACAAAGGCTCAATTTGCATATTTGGATTTGCTTTGCTCAATGAAGACAAAATAACTAGAGAATCAGTTTGTATGCTGGGAAGGGTGTCGACCATTTCAAAAGTATGTCATGATGATGTCATGGAGTTATTTAATTTAGGACTTTGAATATAACCGTGAACTAGTAATTATTAAAGGGAGATTTAGTTCTAGTAAAATATATTGGAAATAAAATTTTCCATGATACCTAGGATTAGGCTCAATGTTGGAAAAGGAGAGAAAATGTAATGAAAATCAGAAGATTTCTGTTCGATTCTTTACCAAAACCTCTGTAACTGGAATGCCACAGCAATTTACCATAATATATTTGAACAGTCATCGCAACAGATAAAGGGACATAAAACACTTCCCTCCCCGGTAACACTGAACCACTTTAGCTGTTGGCACAATCACACTTCTCAATAATGAAGCTATTCCTGAAAACTTGAGTTTCCTGGCAGCACCGTACTGGATTAGGTACAAGACTGACATTCAGAACTACAATGGAAAAAACAGGTTTCTTTAAAATCACTTTATTAAGTTAGGGGATCTTTTATGGCACAAGGTAAAGCTGTTTTGGGAAAGACAATGAGTAAGGTATTGAGATGTTTCCCAGTAATCACTGACTTCCTTCCTCAGGGGACCTGCTGTTTAAACAAAGAAAACTTAACACAGTAATAGCAGATAGAGATGGAGTTATTTTTAGCAAATCTTACAAACATAAAAACAGTCACTCCTATATATCCTAGAGTTTCTGGGACATTCCAAACCCAAACATGCTGCTCCCCCGTCAATGCCTTGAGATTTTAGGTTTGAGAAAATGTCTTTCCAAAAACACAAGTAAAAATAAGCCCATATTTTGAAGATTTCGAACATAAAGGCTTAACACTCAATGCCTCAAGAAACAAAAATGCACTGGCTGGTCAATATCTTTGTTAAAGTTGCCACAGTGATAAAGTGCTAAAAGAAACTTAACCAAATGTTTCGTCCAAAGTGAAACATTAAAGGGAACGAGCTTATTCGAAGAGGTTTGTGATTGGGAAGGGAATGAATGTTAACAGAAGCTGGATCATTACACAAGCTCATAGCTGAGATCCACAGCAGTACGCTACAGTGGAAAGGGCTGAGACTGGATATCGGATTGGAATTTTCCTTTCTGTTCTGCTCTTAACTTGCTGGGTGGCCTTATGCAATGTCACCTACTCTCTGGAACCACTTTTCCTCCTCTGTAATTAGATGGCAGGAGCAATATAACCTTTACATCTGTTCAAGCAGACGCTACCCGGCTAACCACATGGTAGGGATACAGAGTAAACTCAAGCATCCAATGGCTTTTGAAATTCTTTTTGCTTATCTATCCTAACTCCAAGATTCCAGGGTCTCATGGTTATAGTTGTGGGTATTAATGAATTGGTAAAAGTGGAAAAATTGCTACCTAAAATTTAGTTTGTGTAAATCAGATGTCTTTCTAAAACTTCCTAAAAATGTCAGAAAACACATTTATTTCTAAATATCAAATACACTTAAAATGCATTTGGGGAGCTCACTGAACTTATGTAAGAATCCTCTGGTGAATTTTTTGACTAAAATAACGACTACTTCTAACATCTGTCATATAATTTTGCACGCAGGAAACAGGTTGTAAGTGTAAAAAAAAGGCAATAGCAATGCTTCCATACATCGTCCCATATTTCCTAAAGTAATATACAAAATGATTAATTTTTGCTAGTTTTACATCATGCATTTCGTTTAAATTAAAACTGGCACATGGCACTCACTTTCTGTCCCCCCCCCCCCCGTGTTCCCACTCCCTCATGTAAAATACTGATTAGAGAAACATCTAATTTATTACCTGAGTGGTGTAAAGCAAATGAGTTACAGGTGTGCCAGCATGAAATAAGCCTCTTCATCCATAGAGAAATTGCTTACGGCTTCCAGCAGCCTCCAGCAGAGCGGAGTCAGACTGTGGACCCCCAGATTCCCGCAGGGGAGAGTGCCAGGGACACCACCATCCCCACCGCTCACTGCCCAGGCACATGCCCGGAGGGAGGTGCGGAGGCACGAAGCCAAAGAGGTACAGCCCTGGGCCGAGTATTTCAGCAGCCATCAGCGGAACCCTGCAGGGGTTCCATGGACAGGGGCCTTGTGAGCTGCTGCAGGAGCTTCCCATCTGGGTGTTCTGGAAATTACACAGCACGATGTCCTTGGGGGAGGGGAAGAGCACCAGGTGCTGGGTCCCCATCTCCACAGACATCTACTATTTGTATTATGTTGTGGCTAACACACCCTTTTGTAATAGCTTTAACCCTGCAGGAGCTCTCCAAACTCATTTTGAAATACTCAAGTTTAAGTAAAATGGACATCTACTCACACTACACAAAACTTTTCAATGTTACATTTGCCACTACAGAGCTGTTAGTCTTTAAGTACAATTCTTGAATGACTGCAAAAGATGGCTTCGAGTTTATTACCTTCTTGTGTGAACAAAGTTAATCACTGATAGTGTCTGTCATGGATTGAATTGTGTCCCCCAAAAAATGTGTGTAGCAACTTGGCTAGGTCATGACTCCCAGTATTGTATGACTGTGTAATCTGATGTGATTTCCTTACGTGTTGTAAACTCTATCACTAGGATGAGGTTATATGTGATCTCCTTATGTGTTGTTAATTCTATCACTGTGATGAGGTTATGCTGATGAGGTTTACAAGATTAGATAGTGTCTTAATCCAATCTCTTTCGAGATATAAAAGAGAGAAGCGAGCAGAGACACATGGGAAGCTCATCCCACCAAGAAAGCACTGCAGGGAGCAGAGCGTGTCCTTTGGACCTCAGGTTCCTGCACTGAGATGTTCTCAGACCAAGGGAAGACTGATGCATCACAAGGACTTTCCTCCAGAGCTGACAGAGAGAGAAAGCCTCCTCCTGGAACTGATGCCCTGAATTTGGACTTGTAGCCTACTGGACTGTGAGAGAAGAAATTTCTCTTTGTTAAAACCATCCACTCATGGTATTTCTGTTGGAGCAGCACTAGATGACTAAGGCAGTGTCTATCTAGGATTTGAAGGAGCCCTGGTGGCACAGTGGTAAAGCACTTGGCTGCTAATGGAAAGGTCGTCAGTTCGAACCCACCAGCCGCTCGGTGGGAGAAAAATGAGGCAGTCTGCTTCCGTAAAGATCACAGCCTTGGAAACCCTATGGGGCAGTTCTACTCTGTCCTACCGGGTGGCTATGAGTAGGAATTGACTCCATGGCAACAGGTTTGGTTTAGTTGGTTAGTATCAAGGATTTGAAGAGCTCATCATTACAAAGTATCAAAGAATGTTAGTATGTAATCTCTTAAAAAAAGGCATGTTCAGGAAAACAGCTCAAGTTTCTCATTACATACTTTGAAACGGTTTGGAAATTTTTTTATTCAATATTTAATTTCCCTCTGATATTCCTTTTTTTATAATTTGTTACGCAAACAGCAATAATTTTTTTTCCAGGCCCTGTACAAATACCCTTCAGTTTTTTTCAGAACAACTTCCTCTCTCATGCCAGGTCCCAGAGCACGAGTGGATTGAAAGGGGTCCCACCTGGTCACACATTTCTGGTCACAGAGGCACATACAAGCATGGTTCTGTGGAGGAAAAGTTTGTCTCTCTTGACCTCCAATCCCCTTATCTGTGACCTGACATTTCATCTTCTGGCCCTCCACGTGGGAAAAGCAGACTATCCATCACTTATATCTCATTGTGAGTGAAAGTCAACTTCTACTACACACTTCCTTTGTCTACATCACAAAAACTTCAGGCAGCAAGGGGGTGGGCAGATGCTAGAGGTTTTTTATGTTAGGCAGGTGGAGGTGGGGCTGAATTTCTACCTGCCTAACATAACAAGAAGAGAGAGAGAGAGAGAGAAAGAGAAGAAAGGACGAGAGAGGGAGGGAGGATGGGAGGGAGGGAGGATGACAGGGAGGGAGGATGGGAGGGAGGGAGG